CTTCAACCGGACTTCGGTAGACAAAAGGTGAAAGTAATGCAAAATTAAATCTGTTTAGAATGAGGAACGCTCGTTCCGGAGAGAAAACTACTTCCCTCGTGAAATGAGAATTTCGCAAATCTCGAGTTTCACTTTGCGAATCTCGCAAATCTCGCGATTATTCATCTTACACAGCGGCTCGTTTCCTCGCGATCCTCTCCCTCAATTACTCATCGTGCGGCCAACTTTCGGAGATAATTAAAGATCTCCGTTGTCCGAGAGTCTCTCGATGAAGTGCGCAAGAAAGAGAGACAAGGACGAGCAGCGGCCGCGGTAGTGAAAAAAGGACGGCAATTACCGCATCCATCATCCGTCGACCGCAATTCATCATACGCCGTTCCGCAAACGCGTCATACCGATAGCTAATGACAAAAAATCACTGTCCCACGGAATCGATTCGTCTGTCCATCGCGACTTCTTCGTCGATGTCAAGTGCGCCGACAAAAAGCCCAACCGGTCCGAAGAAACGCAATTAGTCGACGCGACGCGGACGCAACAAAATTGCCTCGCCCGCATTCTTCCCGTTTTAGGCGGAGACAAAGAGAAAAGAGCAAAAAGAAATACGAGAACATGAGAAGATACGACTGCAATCTTTCACAATATTATTGGCCTTAAAACATAGAGCTTTTGTCGAGAGAAAAAAAATATTTTCAGGACGCGGCATGCTTTTACGTTCAAATATTTACTCACATTCTTTTCTACGTCACATCACGTCGACTGCAGGATGTAGGACGAAGGAGACGAAGTAGACAGAAATATTAAGAATATGGAAAAGGTGGTGGCCTTTGACGATATTATTTATTTTTGATACAGTTTTTGCGCAAGAAGGGAAGATAATTTTTTTTTTTGTTGAAAGTGTAATACACGCGCGTCGAATTATTTGTATCCAGTATCTATCCGCTTTCTATTTGCTTATCGTATTCGCCGATGTTGAGTTCTCCTGTTCTCTAATCGGGAAAGTAAGCGCATCAAAATGCATTGCGATACGGCTGCACGCACGCGAAGAGAATCCGGCGAGTGTTTTAGAATGTTAAGTGGCGGTGCACTCACGCCCGCTCGGCCGCAAAGTGCAATTTAGCACTGGGGGCTCGCGATGCGAGATTCCACACGCTCTCTATTGCGAAACACAGCACCCCTATCACTTTTCGCCCCGTCAACCCGCACATATCTCTCCCGGGCCTCCCGTCTAGACGCCGTAAGCTCGGCTATCTAAACTGCCCCATCAAACCCATCCCTTTCGTACGCCTCTCCATCACATCATCCTTATCGCGTCGAAAGATCAACGCTAATCTTTCGATCGGCGCCCTCCTGTTCGCGCTTCGTGCGCCATGCGAGAAATCGATCCGCGCGAAGTGATGAATCCGAAATTGTTTACACGAGAAACTTCGTCCCTTTTCTGAAAGCTGAAAGCGGGATAAAAGTGGATACGGTATTTTTGTTTCTTCCGACGAAATCTAGGTAACGCTTAAAACTGCTTTCACTATTGATTATCTCTCATAACGAAAACAGTAGGGGATGATGTGGTAAAATCGCGCGAAACTATCTCGCGGCTATCTCGACGAGCCAATTTCCGACATACGCAATAGAGCCGTGCCAGCTGTCTCGGCGGCGATCCTTTCCGACATGGATTCGCAACGCGATGTCATCGCTCTTCTCCTCCGTCAAAGTCAATAAAGAGACGAGTACCGCGGCGCGCTGTTATTTCTAGCGAACACTCTTCACCGCCGGTCTCTTACACGGTTTACGGCGCGGAATTATACGAACGCCACTATTTCTTTGCACTCGTCGACAGAGCACATCGCCGGCAGGCGCGGAAATTTCAAACGGCCGATATCAGCGCAAAGAGAATCCATGAAACATCAACGGCGTATCGTTTGACTGATGTCATCATTCCAGTCATTTGCGCCAGTCGATTTCGCCCTTCCCGAGTTTGCAGTTCTGAAAGATCTCGCGGAGCCTTTCATCACGCTGCTTAAAAAGTGCACGTCTCGTCCTTTGTAACTTTATACGCTCTCGCGTCTGTTCTTCTTCTTTCCAACTTGCGAGGAAATGTTCACAAACCGACGGACTTCTGTCTTCCTTTGTGCGTCGGTTAGTTTGAAACGAACGGGGACGCGCAGTTTGGAAAGATGCCAGGAAAGTGTTTATTTATTTTGGAGAAGTTTGAGTATGTGACACGTAGAGAAAATAACACACATCGTACGCGTGCAGCAAAATTTTCGAAATGTTTCTTGATATTTCAACTCAACCGCGAGTTTGCGACAAGTTTTTATCTTTTGACAAAAAAAAAAAGGAATTGACACTTTTTTAAATGCTCCAATTGTTACCGCAATAATTTTATGTATGTCATGAAAGAAAATAACGAGTGGGTGTGTAAAATTAATGTGCTTGTGTATAACGCGATATGTATTTCGTTAAAAAAGCGACAGCTTAAAAAAAAAAGAGGAGAAAAATGTGCTCTGTGTTAAATGGATTTAATGATAAATAATAATAAATGGATTTAATGATAAGTAATAATTGTTATAGAGTGATATCACGCTCGAATGCTATTAATTTTCACCGTGGAACGCGAGAGTAAATTGGCGAGATAAATGCGCAACGGGTGAATCACACGTAACGATTACGAGACGTGCAAGATAACGCAATTTTTAGAGAAAAAAGATTACGCGACGTGCTTCGACTGGCAACGCGCATTCTTTAAATTCCACTTTCGTCTGGCTTCCTGCGAGATTAATGTGGCACAGTCTTGTCTACACCTCAAAGGATCTTTAGCGAAGTTCGTCGAGATCAGATGGTGCGGTACCCTTTGCACGCTGCCTTTAATTAATTCCATCCGCGGCACCTCGATTTTGTGTGAAACCTAATTGAAATGTTATTTTGTAGAGTGGGGTATGTGCGCGCATTACGGCAATTTTCGTTTTCGGAATTTCAAGCGTCTACCTGTGTCTACATATACTATAAATTCCGCTTGTTATAGAGAGAGAAATAAAATTACTTTTGACACGTTGCTGATATTGAGTAACGCGCGAATTCGCGAAACTTCGCACTAACGTACTTTGTTCTTGCGATATTTTGTTCTCGCTAATTCCATGACGGTGGAATTTAATCTCGAGGTCCGAACTTCTTTTCGGGAGGAGACAATTATTAGATTCAAGTCGGAGAAGTGGGTCGTAGTAAATTACATTACTCGAGCTTTTGTAGCCGTGCAATTTCATAAATCGATAAGAGACGGGAAAGGAAAATATGAGTTTGCTGCTAGTTTCTATTACATTTCGCGACATGTGAAACTTTAATTTTAAAGATTAAAATTGCTTCTTAGAAAAAATTTTTAATAGTAAGTTGTGTCTTTTTAGGACTAAAAAGGGTACAACACAAGGGTTGATTATATAGCACGGGGGGGGCTACACGGATTTATACTCATGAGAGTGGCTCGTCAGATTTCGAGGCAATTCGGGGCGATTGCATTCTTCGGAAACCATGACCGCCAGCTGCATCGAAATTGTTTGCCGGCTTTAATCTCGCCGCGCAGCAGTGACAAAGTATCGTCCGCAAGTACGCCGTTACTCGAATCACTGGAGATGCGCGTCCGCGTCCGACGTATTTTACGGTAATACTACTGCAGCGAGCGATCGCCCGGGCCAATGGTTAGACACTTACGTTACATTAAAGCCGCCGCCGGCTTTAATCTTGCTGCATGTCGCTCGAATGGCACGGCACGGAAGACAATGTGGCAACTAACTGCGCTACCCGGAATAATTCCCGAGGAATAATTGCTGCAAACTATTTCTACGTCGGACATTAGTTCGACAATGGTCGTCCGCGCAATTCGTACTATCTGTACGGTGAATTTTCCAACACCCCGCAGAATGTACACAAATGCTCGCCGCGAAAAATTAGCCATAAAAATTGTAGAAAGTCGCGTCTTTTTTTTCCCCCGAAAAAAATCCGTAGCACGAAGCTTTATATAATTGCGAGTTTCACGAAATTAGAACAACCAATGTCACCTCCTGCCCGAAAGTAGAGGAAACGGAATGTTGTGTAAAAGGATAGATAGAGTTCGTTAGAGACAGTCATAAGCCCGCAATATTTTTAAAAGAGAAACAGTAGTGACTATTACAGAAATTGGGGTGGAAATCGCCCGAGTTCCGAGAGTTAATTTCTCTTCTGGGTCAGGACAGGAATTCCATCGACCTATTTTCCGTGCTAGTCCCCGCACATACGAAGCTTCCGGCAGTCTGCGGGTTGAAAGTTGCCATCAACGATTTCGAGACGAGCGTTTACACCGACGAAAAGTTGCGGCCGAAATGCAATGTCTCGTTAGCGTTTAGGCGCATATAGCTGCTGTTAGCCCCGAACTCACTCGAGCGAAAACCCGCGATCGAGTGCGCTAGTGTCTGGTTTCTTTCTTTGACTGCGTGTTCTTTTTACTCTGCAACATGGTGCACACATAGATGTCGATATATATATTTATATATATATATATATAATATATAAAGGCGATATACTCCGCTGATCTAGTTGCTGCTCTAGAGTGTCCTGTTGTTGCGGACCACCACAGTCGACGCTCCGTTTCTTGATTCCTTGACTAGTTTTAGATCTCTTGCCTCCCTCTGCGCTTCTGACGAACACCAAGTGCATCTCAAGACATGCACTAAAAGTTCATTTCAGAATTATTAATGTTCGTAATTAAGCAGTTGATCGCGAGCGTGCGATCGCAGACCGAAGTCGCTACGTACACGAGCGATGAAACGAACGATATGTCGGATCGATTAACTTCGAGATTTGCAATTTTTCTTCATCAAATTTTCCGTCCGTCTTTGCGTCGTGTTTCACCATCTCTCTCCGACTGCACGCTCGCTACTTCGGAGATGAATTACGTGGGCATGGCGTTCGAACGTTTCAACGACAGCGAGCACTTGACGCACGCGAGCTTAATGCCAGCCACTTTTTCTGTCACGTAGGTCGATCTAAGACACATGGACGAGAAATCCGGGAGCAACGTGGTGGACGTGGGGGTCGACCTGTCCGAATTCTACATGTCGGTAGAATGGGATATTCTAGAAGTGCCTGCAGTTCGGTAAGCCCCTCTTGCGCTTCACTTAATCCTTAATATTACCAAAGTGCTTCGTATCATTTGCGTTTTAATAACAATCGCGCCAATGATTACAACTGTATTAAGCTCATTCACTCACACGCGATATTTCGTTAAGATTTTATCTCGAGGAAAAGTCTGTTTTTATACGATGTAACATGTGCGCGCGCTTTTACAGTTTATCCCCTTTATCAAAATTTCAATACTGATATGATAGCTACTTGCCGCGTAGCTAATCTATTTTGTACGGATAAAATCTCAATCTAATCCATGAGATTCCCGAGTATAGCGGAAGCGCCGGAATCGCAAATCGCGTATAAGAGAGGCTCCTCTCTTTTCTTATATGAAATGCTCCTTCGGATTCAATATGCTCGCCTGGCATAAGCGAGCGGCTGCTTCCGGGCACGATTCGATCCTCGATATTCAGCGTACCGTGCTGACGGCCAACCGGGCTTCAGCTTCCGGAAGCTGCTGTAGTGGCAGAGGCAAGGATATTTTCACAGATGCTTGAAGCGACTCGCCACTAGAGACGTTCGCGATATTCCGTAGTATTGACGTTTTATCGTTTGAGCACTTTTGGCACTCGATAATGTGTGTTTTCATTATTACTTGGATTCCGATACTGAAAGTATCGATAATTTAAGCGTCCAAATTCGTGAGAAATTCTGATCAGCCGTCAGTGCGGAAACATAATCTCGACACTGATAACATTTTGATATACGACGGCGAGGAATGCCGCTGATAATTTCAAATTGATTATAAATTAACTTCAGAATAATGTTAAACTAAATTTAATTGTGCGTATTAAAATTAAATTAGGCCGACAGAAGCAGCAAAGTTTAGATTAACTTTGAGAAAAATTATCCATCTCTAAATTTTCTTGGGATTTAAAGAAATTTTTTTTCAAATTTATGTTTAAAAATTGAAACCAATTCAAATTTATTCACGAGACAAGACGTTACCGATCCCGCTTTTGGAGGCCATCGGCTTTTTAAGGGAGGAGGGTGGAAGGGAAGGGTCGAGCCGAGTTACCGACTTAGAGGGATCTTCGAGGGAGTTATACGAGCCCGCGAAACTTTCCTCATAACTCTCGCTCACAGCCGACTCTACTTACTTAAAACGTACTTATTGTCGGGTACAAACCCTTCACTGACCTGAATAGCGAAATTTTTACCGCGTTCTGTGCGCAATTTCTTTTTTTCTTCTTTTTTCTTTACTTCATCACTATAATCTTGCCGCTACTCTCCGCTCGTTCATCGATCCGGCGATTAACCGCAATGTTTCCTTTCCTCCCGCAGAAACGAGAAGTTTTACACCTGCTGCGACGAGCCCTACTTGGACATCACGTTCAACATTACGATGAGGAGAAAGACCCTCTTCTACACGGTGAACATCATCATCCCCTGCATGGGGATATCGTTTCTCACTGTTCTCACGTTTTACTTGCCGAGCGACAGCGGTGAAAAGGTAAGTGCGTATTCTTCGCGAGCAAATATTTGCATTCACTCTCGCGTTTTCATGAGTAGCTGAGATACTTCGCCAGACACATATTCAATTCATGATAAATTTATTACATTCGTTATTTCCGTATTCGTACGAAAAGCAAATTAAATTGTTTCTTCTTATTTCAAATCTTTGTCGAAATGTAAAAGTGCATTCAAAAGATCGTAAGAATTTTGGAAAGATTTATGTGAATACATTGCCGTATAAGACACGTTTCCTATATGCAATATTTGCGGAAATACATAACGCGCGGAACTTTCCTTTTAGAAAAAGAGTGGCGGAGCAAGAAAGAAACGGAGAAAGTCACGATTAATCCCTTTATTCTCGGAAGCGACCGCTGGGCGGACGTGCGTGAAATATGCGGCGAATTAGTTCTCTTCCGCGCGTCTGTCGGCCTCGTTATTTTCTCTTATCTGTAGGCAAGAGCTAGTAGGTGGTTACTTTTGGCTCGACGGCGCCGGCGATTTTTCATTTCCACCCCGGCCTCATCCCGGTCGACTTTCCGCCAACGCGCGCCGACTCGCGCCCCATTCTCGCTTAAGGAGAGATCCCATTCCATGTCGTTGTCCAACACGCCACGAAGATGAATGTTCCACGCGGCATATTGGCATGGATATTGACATTGGCTATTTTCGGACATTGGATTTTTTGGATATTCCTGCACGTCCCTCGATATTTCCGGACTTTCACTCGGATATTCTAGGCATTGCATTTTGTATATTTTTAATGTCTCACTAATGTTTTTTTCTATTTTTTTTTTTATATTTCTATCTAAACATTTCTTAAACTTTATTAGTACATCCTTGGACGATCCCTTGGATATTCTTAAACATTCTGGATATCCTCGCTTTACAACCGTGCTGTGCGTGATCTTACGCATTTCCTCCTTGACGAATGATACTCTCTCTCTCTTTCTCTCGGGAAAGATTCAACCCGCCGAAACGACGCTCACAGCTGACGTCCTTCCCGAAAGCGCCCTTCCGCGCGCAGAGTTATCGACGTAGCGCGGCATAAAAGCTCGGTCGTACATTCTCTGCGCGCTTTTTTCCCCCGTTAGCGGCGGCCGCGGCACGTCACGACTTGCCACAAAGGTTACTCGTTACGGTGAACTGGCATTGTAAAATGTTTTTTCTTCCCCGTTCCCCGTCGGCTGGCTTCTTTGTTTCTCCCGTAGCGCCGGCCGCGCGACCTCGCGTTTCTCCTTCCGCTTCTCTGTATCCCTCGTTAAAAGAGCCACTGACTATTAGTCGTGCTTGCACGCAGTTGAAGAACTATCGACCGCGCGTGCAATTAGCATTCGTCATTATGAAGAAACGAGCGGCAGTCGATTGTGTCCGGAAGTACCGCGGGAAAGTTAATAGGAATGTTTGCGCACGACTCAGCGTGTTTGGTCTCCTCTCATTAATCCTTTCAACGTCGAGTCTTCGTTGACTGAGAGAAAAATACCAATTTGTCACCAGCGGCTCTCTACATGGCCGTGCGAACGCGCCAAGAATGTTTAAAGAATTTTTTTTCCGCATGAGCTGACTATTTCGAAATACGAATTTGTCGTTAATTGATTTTTATGCTCGCCAACGTTCGCCGAGTATCTCGAGTCGCGCGGTTTTTCTCCACGCCCAATATTTACTCATCGCGAATGAATGATTTTATTTTCTAATCGCATAAAGAATATTTATACAGGGATATTCCGACAGTGTTGTCACGTTCGTTTGCATTGCGCCAACACGACTGGTTCCGCGCGAAAAGGGGGAAAATATTGGTAACCATATATTCCATTCGTTTCTCCGCGACGCTACGCGGATGCGATTCAACAGCGGGACAGGAAAGCTCGGAGTCAATCATTCATTCTATCTTTAACCGTCTATTGATTTTGCTTCCGAGAAGCGAGAAGGAAACGCGAATCTATTATGAATCTGCATCCGCCGTTCTCAAGTAAAGACGCAGACATGAGACACCGTTCTGTTTACTTCGACGATGTCTAAAAGATATGAAATATGGCGCAATATATTTATAGTTTTTGCGTCACTTTTTATCATTCGATTTTTCGCATCGCGCTCGCGCGACGTTTTTTTTGGGAACCGAATAAAAGCTACACGATCGATACGTTATTAAATATGCGATATTATATGAATATTTAATATATACGATACTAAATATTTATAAAAGCATGAAAGACATAGAAGAATGCTTGATGAACAATAGAATTAGTGATTTTTCGTAACATACAAGAATTTTCTCGAATGAGAGAATTTCCAATAATTTTGAAAAGCTTATTAATCGCACTATTATATAACCGAACGAAGAACCGTGCGTATTCTTGTTTCTAAACTGTCAAGTATGCAATTTTTAGCAATATCTCTGGAGATGCATCACACGAGACGTGTCACGAATGCGAATGTCCGACGGGAAAGTGGCATGAAGAATTCGCGAACGACTTTTCGCGAATGCATCTCTCGTTTGGATGGCTGTCGAGTCGAGTGCTGCTATCGCCATTCGCGCTCCGGAATACAGATCTTTCGTCATTCGCGCCGCGCGTGCCGGAAAAACGCAAAAAAGTTGTGCAGGCCGTGTGAAGAGTCGCATATGTCTTCGGAACGTGTCAACTAAATAATACAACGCTTGCTCAAATAATAATGACTGTTGATAATATTGATTGACAGAATTTCCTCAAGTTGCGTCTTAAATGCATTACACAATATCTCTCTCTCTCTCTCTTTTATTTAATTTTAAATAAATAAAAATATAATTTAAATTAGAGCGACGAGTATTTATATTTTATCAGAAATAGATGTGAAATGTTAATTTAAAAGTAATAAAACAGTGACAATAATTATACGAATTATATGAACAAAGATAGATTCCAAATGAGAGATACTATAATTATCTGTAAGCGCCGCTTTTGGTATACTACGAAAATCTCTTGAAATATTAAAGCAACCCTTATTACACACGCTTTGGAAGCTCTGCAACCCAAGCACGACATTGTAAGCCAGCTTTACACTTGGACGTCTTCTTGCGGGTTTGCTGGCGTCACGTCGTCCTTAATAATAGTTTGTTCTTCTTGCCGCGCAACACTGAAACACTTGCGACAAATACAACTGACGCGCGTCTTAATTGGACACTAATGAAAGCATCATCTTATAAAATTTACGTTATCAAAGTGCCGTAAATACAGAGGAACGCGAAGGGAAAAACTGTGTGCGTGGAAAAAAAGATGCAAAAAGAATTTTCACAAAACATTTGTGTGCGGGGAAAAGTGGAAAGTGGTAGCGAAGAAGAAAAATAAACTTGGTTGTAGATTTTCGAAAAAATAAAGCCGCGCGAGAGCGCGCGTCTACTGCAGCTTCTAGGCACGTCAATCAAGCAGAGAGAATCGATAAGCAATATCGCGGTTCGGTGATTGACCCGCAGCGACTGCGTCTACCGAAATTGCATACTACGTGCATTCCCCGCCTCGCCTTTTATGATGTACGTGCCTCATGACCCTGTGCGCCGCATCGTTTAGTCCCGATTCCAATACTTTTTGCCGTCATTTCTAGATTTATGAACACTTTGCGCGTTTGCGGAAGCGTTCAATCAAAAAAATCTAACTCTATTAAGACATATTAAGTCCTGTGAAACTGAATGTCTAGAAATTTAGGCTCTGCCAGAACAATTTGACGATATGAAAATTTCTTCTCAAAATTAGGAACAAAAATAAAAAGAAAAAGACAGCATAAATCACATTTTATTTAACTGATCGAAATCACTATTTGAGTAGATTAATTAATCGTTTCTGCGCGCGCGCGCGCGCGACTATATGCGGAAACTACAAAGTGTCGATATTACTCAGTTCTGCTCACGGCGAAGTTCTGGGCAATAACTTAATCATTCTCGATTGCGTAACGTAACTATTTCGGAAGATAGATTATCAAGAAGGCTGCGGTTGATTCTCTCCCCTTCGCAGATCGATGCGCGCAATCTGGGGTGTCGCATGAAGATGTTGCTCGAATGTTATTATCATTTGACTGATACGACGCAAGGAGGATCCGGCGTAACGGATGGGGAAAATAGATGACGAGTATACCCCGGGATATTATTATGTCATACTGTGAGCGAAGCTACGCCGTGGACAATATAATCATATTTGCCTTGTGCCATCCCATTGTGCCCTCACGTTCAATGTGATTCGACAGTTTGCGCAACGGGCGAGCCAATTTCGCTGCGGAGCGACATTCCACCCACGTTAATTACGCAAACATCTATCTAAGAATACGAGCAAAAATAAGCCAGTAATTTTCCACCTCCGTAAAAAAGTTGCGAGAAAGAAACTACGTCTTACACACATTTTATTTTTTCAATCCAAATCCCTCAGTTTTTGCTTACGCACAGGTTTCGTCAAGTGAAAGCCATAATAAATGTTATTCAATTATTTTAAATAATAGAATCATTTATTTTAGAAAAGGTTTGACATATTGTATGTGTAAAAAACACTATTTTTATAGATATAAAAAAATGATAAAAATGAATAAAAATGAAATAGTAATTGAATATCTTTCTACATTCATATTAATGTTACTTAATGTTTTATTTTTCTGTTTAAATATTAAAGGTTTGAAATTCTCTGTAAAATGTGACCAATTCGCTAAAGAATTAAATATTTGTTGTTTGTATAAAAAAAACATATTTTTTTGAAAATATTTGAAATTGTGGTAGAATATATATAAAACTTTTATGAGAAATTCTATTCGGCCTGAATGAATGATGCGGGCGGTGCTAAGCAAATATCGATTCGTTTATCCTCGCGATCGGCAATTTGCGTTTGTTGGCAGCGGCCCACTTGTCGAAAGCATCACATCAAGGCACTGTGCCCGGAGAATGTGGCGCCGAACCGGGGAGTTAATGCGTTCTGACATTACGCCGTTGGGGCTGCCGATTGCCAAAGTAACTACATGCCCACCTCGGGAGAAGCCCGAATCACTAATTGCTATTCGATCACTGGTCGCTTAAACTAATCGCCGTGATTAAGTGAATCAAGCGACGCGAGCTTGCGAATATTTGTGCAGACGTCCGAGCGATTCTTAAACGGACATTGACGATTGAATAATCATTTTTTGAGATTTCTTTGCGCGCGGTAACTTTCGAAGCCAGACTCTTTCGTGGCAGTTGTTCCTGATTGCGATCTCTTTTAGTGTTGCAAATATTGCGCAATACGGCAAATTGCAATCTTTTAATGATATTAACAAGATTTATAGCAATTAAAATAATGCACTAAGCGGAAAATATATGAATGTGAGATAAACTCGAAATATTAGGCAGCGTTAAATTTAATTATACATTCATTATTCGGAGAATATGTGACTGCGCAATAAATATTAATAATCTCTTAATCATTATAATTTGTAAAACAGCTATGTTGCACATCGTCACAGCCACGAGGATTAACCGCGCGCTCGTTACCGGAATATAAGCTTCTAGATACGGCAATAATTTTACTTATAAATTTTTATTTGGAAGTAATTTCGCTTTATAAAAATAACTTCGCTTCACCGAAGCGAGTAATATCATTTTGCGAAACCGTATCTGCAAGCATCGAGCGTATGCAAACGTGGACGTCACCGTACTTCCGGTATCACACGCGCATATTGTGCACGACTAAGCTAATCCAACAGCGTATCACGTTAACTATACGTCAACGTACATACGTGTCTCTTGCTTAACTGTAGCGAACAGACTGTGCCGTGACAAGACACAAGCCGCAAGGCAGTATTGGTTCACGTTGCTGTTGATCGTACGCGGCAATAAACAATAGCTTGCAGAATAACTAAATTATCACTTTATAAGGCTGCGCCAGAATCATGCCGGATTTTCTTCTAAATACAAAATCTATATAGCAAATTTGTATTTTTATTCATACGCAAATTTGTACGATATATGTATACAACATTTAGTTAAATTGAGAATAAAAATGCAAGTTTTAGTACAAATTTTTCACTCAGATTCCAAAATTGTAAATACGTGTATATATTTTTATGTGACAAAAATTTATTTTTGAAAAATTTTATTATATTTTTGCGGTATAGTAATTATTGGATCATACAATATCGATTAAAAAAAAAATGTTTGCTCAAACATTTGGTAGGAACAGCAGCAAGATACGCGTGCAATTGCCAGGCGAGGAGTGGGCGACAATAATTAAAGGCGCGGTCGTATGGAAAGTAACCGGGTGCACTATCGATCCGAATGCATCGATAAAAGCCGCCAGGGCTGACGACACGAGCAGCAGCCCCGATAGACGCTATCGCGCTCCAGTGGTCGATCCTTTAAATTAATCGCTATGAAACGCCATTGCAGCGGCGAAACCGCAGTAAAAATGAAGCGCGCTCGCTCACTCGCCCGCGTTGCGTTCAATTCGCAATAAGAGCCACCGACTCGATTCCCGATAAGAGTCACCGTCGATGATCGCGTGTTATACATTCGTGGTCGCTGGAAAATGTAAACTGGTTTTTATTACTCAGTGAGTGCAACAAACTCCGATGTAATCAACGGAAAATGCACTGAAAAGAAATGGTCCGTTTTATAACCAAGTCGTAATAGAAATCACCATTTAAAATGATTAATGATGATAAATGTTATTTAAACACGCTATATTGACATTATACTGATATTATTATTTTTAATTATATAAAAAATAACCAAAACACTTATTTAAAATAAAAAAAATATCAGTCAGCACATCTTTTTATTTGGCTTTTAAATAAAAATTAAATAAGTGGTAATTAAATAATATGTCTTTTTTTCATAAAAATTATATTGATTAAAGTATTGGTTTTTTTTTTGTACGCGTACGATAATATTCCGACGGGCACGTTTATTTAGCGTCTTTTTTTATCCTTTTTATAAAAGTAAATTTTTAACATTTAACAAGAAATAAAAATAAATAAAATATGTCGATTTATATTTATTCAGTAAATAGCGACAATAACATTGAAAATCGTTTCAACGGAAGGAAACTGCATCAGCTGCAAAAATTTTGAACGAGAAGCATAAACAGTGTCTGGCTGCTGACACGACACAGCCTTGATGGACGGTTTCACGTAACGATGAGCCGTGCTGTAAATTAATCGCCGTGAAACGCCGCAAAGCGTCATTGAAAAGCCATGTGACTATCGGATCTAATTAAAAAAAGGAAATAAAGACCGATAACTACACATTACACGTCCGTAATCGCACAAATGCTTTCCGCTAAAAATTATTTATTGGATATTATATCGCGGAAGCTCGCATAACAGTTGTGTAACAGATATTATTGACAGAGATCTCTGACTGCACAGAAATTTGCAGACAAAGTAAAATATATACATACCGATATACATATGCGATATTAAATCTACTTTATTCTAACATTATTTTCTTTGTAAAAAATGTCGATGTTACACAGATGAAACTTTTAATTAAACTTGTAATTCAATCAAGTGCTCTTTTAACGTTTGTACTTTGATTTAATTTATTAACATACATGTTTATTTTTTAAATTATTAGAACATGACATTTCGCGCGTTATATGCCCGTAATTTAGCCTTAAAAACATCAAATATAATATAAAAAAATAGGACTAATTAAAATAAAATTAAAAATTTACATTTTATTATATTTAATTCAATGATTCTTACGAGTTATATCTATTAATATCTGTAATTATCGGCAAATATTGGCAATAAGAGGAATTAATTAATTTATTAGATTTATATAAAAACTTAAAACATTTTTTTTTAATAATTACTTTTTTAATATCAGCTAATGTATAACCTAGATCTTTTCTAGAATATAAAATTTCAATGCATCGCAGTAAAGTTCTAGTTCTACAAACTTTATTTCTTTAAAAAAAATTATGCAATCAGCAAATTTATACAAAAATCTTGCTTTTCACTTTTTTATTTGTAAAAGATTATAATAAATTCAATTCTTGGAGTTGCGATGAATATGTGTGTGAATGAATCTCAAACTCTGAAATATTTTTTCCAATTTTTGTATAAATCAAAAATTTTTTTATTTTAATAAAATTTTAGAATTCTATGATCAAAAATTTCTATAGCTTCAAAATGTTTTAATAATTAATGTAACGTGTAACTTTATAATTGTGTTAAAACGATGAAATTTTTTACGATCAACTCACCGTGGATGAATTTGTCACTGGAAAAAATTTTTTCATTTATATGCTTTGTTTAATTTCGTTTAATATGAAAAAAAAATTACGGTTATGAAAGTACGTGTCTGACTTTTCAACTTCATACAAGTTGCCTTCCAACCTGTAATACCCGACATAAAAGAATGTAATAAAACTCCTGGAGCCGTTCCATGTTAGAAAACTCTAAGTAATCGTTAACCCGGTTAACTTTCTGCAACGTGCACGATAAATCCCTCACGAAAAATTTTTAACATTTCTTGCACAATTACAGTCAGACTTAATCCTATTATTTAATATGTACTCGAGCATGGTCGCTTTGTGAGAATCAAACTTGTCGAAGAAACTTCATAAAACCCATCATATATTTTTCACTTTAAATTAATTTTTATCTTTAAGTCTTTCACGTGTTAACAGTCTTAGTAAGAAAAACGCGCAATTATAATTAAATAAAACAGCATTAAGAAAAAATATAAAAATAAATTTTATAGAGAGAGAGAGAGAGAGAGAGAGAGAGAGAGAGAGAGAGAGAGAGAGAGAGAGAGAGAGAGAGAGAG